ATAGCTAAAGCGTCGTTGTTAGCTCATTGCATTCGATGGAAAATGTCTAGGTAAGCTAGCGGTCATAGCTATTGTCTTTCCACTTTACGTTTGCTCCTTATCATTAGGTTCTTTTGCACAACCTGGCTGGTTGCATGGGATGGGCCGGGAAAGACAATAGTTGGCAGCAAGTATCCTTTAATGCTATTCCTTTCGTCTGTGCATTTCGAAAGCGAGTCGATGAATGTTCACACTAAACTTATTATCATCACATCGCTGTAGCTCATAAACGTGGCATCGTAAAGCGAATGGCTCAGAATCTATAAGGCTCTCATATATCATGTATGGTTACTTTATAGGACTTCTTGCAGTAACAGATTTTTACTTTTCTTACGCGATTAAAACTACTGCAAAGATTTCAAAGAAACATTGAAACGCAAATTGATCCTTAAATTCAATTTCTATAATTTCATGTCTGTTCGGTTACCGATCAGTGCATCAATCGACCCAGCATCATACAGCAGAACGGCTACGGATCGCTTGCTTGTAAATTTGTACAATATATGTTAATTCTGAGCTTTATCAAGTTATTGTCTCAAAATAGCTTCGAACGTTTTACTCGAAAACATCGAAAGACCATTATGCTCTTTGTTGTCGTTATTCCATGTCATGGCTCAATGGTTCGGCCGATTGTCATGGCTGCCATTGCCTTGCTGCCAAAGTATTTGGGCTTCTGCCTTTGAGAACCTGCTTGAAGCTTTTAACCTCACTGTCACGAGTAATGGAGCGTTTGTGCTCTTTCTCTGTCAGTTATCGGTCGAAAGCAGTAACCATTACGCGAAAGCTACCAAGCTCGCCGTACGAAAAATATGAATAACTGTGGTAATTTCATGACAGCATCATGTGACAAAAGACCTAATATTCATTTGGCTGAAAGCTCACCGAACGAAGTTGAAATTGGTTACGTTAAGCTCCGCTTTATATTTTTTTCCGATCAGTGAATTCACAGCAGCAGGCAGACAGTCAGGCCTTGAACACAAAATGCAGTAATTACCTCAGTCCTTTCAAACTCAAAATTCATTTGTAATTCATCTGACTCATCGTGTCTGCCATTTGTTTTTGCGAGATTAGTTGAGAATTAGGCTAACAATGACGTTTTTCGTTATTTCTTTATCCTTTATGCTTTAAAACGATCTTACCGATACATCCAGAAAAAGAAAATTAGTGACTTTAATGAAATATATTGACATTCGGCGGAACTAATCTTTAAGTAGCAGTGACAGAAACAAACTCTTTTGTTATATTGTAGGTAAGGTCTGACATTGCTTTCGAAATGCACAGATGAAAGGAATAGCATTAAAGGATACTTGCTGCCAAGTACAAGTTTGTTAAAGTAGCAATGTTTCCCCAGCTCTTCACATGCAACCAGGCTGTGCAAAAGAACCTAATGCAACGGTAAGATAAGGAGTAAATGTAAAATGGATAGACAAGTCTTAGACAATAGATATGACTGTTATCTTACCCATACATTTTCCATCAACTGCACTGAGCTAACAAAGACGCTTTAGCTATAAAATTATGCCAGAAATGTCTAAATAATTACAAAGAACCCTTAAAAGCAATAAATCCACATTCATTTACTAAAATTAAATTATTTTCCCGGCAGTCCTACCTCATTGCAAGCCAAGCGGTTATCTTTTCGAGAACTTAGATGAGCGAGAATCCTTTCCTTCATGTTTTCGATGTTTTTGCATCCTTTATTGGAATGCTCAAATTCTAAATTAAATTGATAACCTCGGCGATATCATCTGTCTCATCCAATTTTCGTCTGATGGCTTCCATTTTTTTATTCCAAAAGAAACTGTGGAAAATTTAATGCACGGCGCCGAGTGGCGAAGGAATTTTCAATTTTTGGGATCGTTTTGCAAGGCCTACATTCCTAGAATCATCATGTGACGACTTATGGTAAACAAAGTTTCATATCATGTTTAAGTTTACTTCTAAGCGACCTCTGAAGCAGGGAGGTCGCTCCAGAACCTGATAACATAGATATTTCGGGCGAAAAGACTAACGCTAGCAACCGCTTTGCTCTTCTAAGTTACCAATCCACGGCTGATTTTAAGTATAATAAAAGTCTAATCTTCTCGTTGTTGCATCAGCCTCTAAAAGAATTATACCTTGACGCAAACATATTTTCTTTCTCTATTTACAGAAATCAAACATTGCAAAGCTATTTAGCGTGAGTCAACCGTGAATCCCTTGTTGAAAACCGCATACGATCAAAAGTTGTTCGAATACTCTTATAAGAATGGACGGAAAAGCAAAGAGAGATAACAATGATTTTTTGCGATGATATTAGTTTAGAGGAAATCGTCTGTGATTGCTATTAGTGTCGCAGGCTTTATCATTTCATTGGCTGGTAGCTCGTGGCGATGACAGACATCTGGTTCAACCGTGACATGCAAGCAGTCGTTAAGTGTCAATGATCTGATTTTCGCTCTTGCATTGCAGATTGAAGTGGAGTTACATCGCGCCAATCAACTTACCAGTGTTTTGAAATACTTATATATATTGGAATACAACTATTTGCAAATAAACCAAAAATGACAGTGATCAGAAAGAGACTTGCAAATCCATTCTACCTTGTTGTACCTCTGACAAATGTGTAATGACAGGGACTTTATTCCCAGAAAAACCATCACAGTTTTCTCAGAATTAGTAACTCATGAAATGTAAGGAGCAATTGATTATCTTTGCATTTAAACCTTTTCCATTACTTCCAAAACTAAAATGAAGTGAGTTTACAGTTTAGTTGAGTTACCAATGTGGAAATCACGGAGTCATAAAGACGAACTTCCACTCTCCACAAATACTGTCTTAGCGCGCTAACGTCAATCATGGTCTGTAGCCTGATGATTCATGCTAACAATTGATTCATTTGAACGACCGTGGCGCGGTATACCTATTATGCTATTTGCAGACTGAATTGATGCCTATTGTAAGTATTTAAAAAATGGATCAAACATTTTGTGAGAAGCTTGAGAAGGATTTACCGTTGAAGTTACCCTCGATAATTTCAAAGTGCCAACCGTCTGAGAAGAGTATTAAAATCTGTTAACAGATCAAGTGCTCTTGTACAGGAGAAAGTCTGGTCGCGTTTTTACCTTCCGCGTTTTGTGGCCATGAAAAGGATTTGCCAGGGGCACAGCGACTCTGAAAAACCCGTGAAGCACCTCTATAGGCTGGTAAATGGATAACTAGGATTTGAGGAAGGCAACATTACGAGTGGTTTTGAAAGAAGTAACCTTACATTGGGTATTATCTGTCGCCATTTGAAAAAAAAAACACTACTGTTGACGTGACTTCTCGAGAATTTTGTCAAAAGTGCATGATGTGTACGGAGGTGGAGAAAGTGGAAGCATAGACGATATAACTGAAGCTTGTGAATTAATTAAATATGTCGATCTTTCAATGAAGGGTTAAATTCACTAGATGAGATGAAAAAAACTTCGATAATCGACAAATATCATGTTTTCATGACGTTAACCGTCAGTAATTCTGTGGGAAAACACGTGGAAAATGAAGCGTTCGCGCACACAGGAAAACTACAGAAAAACTTTCAGGAAAAAACAGGCTATTCGTGTTTTTCTTGAGTTTTACCGAGGGTGAACAGTAAATTTGCCATCCGTTTTCAGATATCAGAAAACATTAGTATGATGTCGAATTTTTCAGTCTTTCACCATTTCAGAAAACTAACGATGAACAAGGGTTTTTGTGCCGTGGTTGGAAAGGACTTCGGCGCGAAGGATTGGGAAGTTATGTAATCACAGTAACACTTTTTCAGTTCAGACATCACAGATATTTGTGCAGAGTATGGTAAATTATCCGACTATATGTAATTCATTCTCTTCCTGAGAGGGTTCTCCTACAGGTTGATATGTCAGTTCGAATTGTCGAGAACTGAAACAGTTAATTTTTCTATTCCGCTCATGACAAAGGGTCGACGAACGGACAATTCGTGATACAATTAAGCCAAACGATACGAGAACATGGTCTCAAGTACTCCCCATAACATACTTCACAAGCTTTTTTGGAAGACCGCCAATTTAAAATTGATGCCCATGGTTTGAAAGCCGAAACAGTGCGAAAATACAAACTTTAATGAAATATTTCTCCGAGGGAGGAAACATTTTGAAAAAAAACGGCTGAAATCAAGAATTTCGTCTCTTTGGCTGTCGAAAAAAATTAACTCAGTTTTTGGCTTCGGTCTCCTTTAAAGAGAACCATTAATGATTAACTACTCTAAACTGGTAGAAGTTATCTTAAATTACCCCAACTTTAAGAAATTGTTTCCTTAAGGTTGAAACAACCATTGGACCAAATAAGAGTAAAATCCTTGGCATTCTGTTGCTGTGAGAGTGATTTGTTGGAAGTGCATTTTTAGAACTAATGTAAGCCTTTTACCCCACGGATTTGATGTGGGGGCTCTACTACCGGGAGCCCGAACCACTCTGGATTCTTGAATAAATTAGTGACCCTCAGAAACTGTGAAAGTTTGAAAGAAGTCGGGGACCCGAAATCGGTGAGATGGCATGTGTCACGCCTACCCACTCCTCTCGTGGACAGACTCTTGAATCTAAAAGCATCGGGTTCGGAGAACTTGTTCAATTTACATTGCAAACACCTACCCTCTAGTTTTTCACCAGAACTGATCTATGTAAGGGGGGAGGGAGGGAGGTCGCTAAGAGCCATGTATCTCAAGCTCATGTGTGGGGAGAGGTAAGTTTTGGTTAATTATGCTATGGCTTGCTTTTCGCATAAAACCGGCATATTCAGAGGGGTCTTTACATGTTACGTTTTCGTATGATTTTAAGTGTTATTCCCTGGTGCAAGTCAGCATGCGGGCTACACGTGGTCCCTGCGGCTGGAAACTGTTATGAGAAAACACTTAAGAAAAGTGTTGTATACTAGGGTTCGAGGTACTACTATAGAGTAATGCGCGAATCAGGCCATGTGCTCTACACAACTGCTTTATTAGGATACGATAAATTAATTACATAAAATGATACATAAGCATAATCACGTGACTGCGGTCAAGGGTGTGCTAACCAATAGAATACAGCTGAGGTATTTATCCAAATAGGAAAAACAGACAAAAAAGACTTTGAGTTTGCATAGAAAACGCGAAAAATAAAATAAAATAATAAACCAACCATGTCCTTTATGACAATCTTCAAAAATAGATTTCATTTTAAAGTTCGTCGCTGAAAAAGTTAAGCCCTAGACAGTGAACAATGTTCAGTTTGGACCATTCAGTGATGTTAGTTTTTAAACACCCCTAACACTAATTTCCTACAAACTTTCCTTCGATTTATATTGTTATTTTGTAGTAGACTAGGTGATCTTAAATGAAGGTTTCGGCAGAAATCGCGATATCCTGGAATTGTATCATAACTTTGGAATCTTTGCTGCCCAGGAAATAGTTCTTATTGTAAACGCTACTTTTAGCAACGCCTTAGCTTTCTTCACGTATCATAGCCTATAAAAGTGCGAAGCAAACCGTAAGTAAAAAAAAGGAAGTTAGGTGAGGCCACACCGCACCTTTGCCAGGATCAAAAGGATTCAAGCTACCCTATCTCAAGTGTCTTGCTATTTTTTTTTGGTGTGCGTCGTCAACCAAAGTACGTTAGTCTTTGTTATTAATTAAGTCACAGGAATCATCAACCTTTTCGGTCATAGAACGTCTCGTTTAGTCAACTAAGTGTTGACTAAAGATCTCATTTACAAATTGTTCTTCTTTCTTTTCAAATTGTTACCCTTTTATGCTCATTTAGCTACCTTTTTTTTTAGTACGATACTGCTGTTTGTACCTTCGTTTGATGATAATTTTTATGACACGAAAATTATCACGTCTATTAATTTTACGCTAGGAGTTCGCTAGTTTATTGTTGTTCTATGTCTCTTGATAGTTAGAATCTATCTTTCAATTATCGTATTTCAGTTCGAACCTATTACTATTTTTTCTACTGCTACTGCTACTAAGCCCAACGATCTTAGATCTTCGCTATCTTCGTGACCCTTCATGTCAAACGCTACCGAGTGATCTGTCACTAAATCAGTTTAAATCTACCAAGTGGAGTTTGAATTATTGTCACCTCGCACTATGTTACCCTTGCAGTTGTTGAGGATTTGAGTAAGCCGCAACCTCTAGTATGTGTACAATTACAAGTGAATCTACTTTTTTCTTCCATCTCCTTCCGTATTTTGGCTTTTTTTCTACAACGTTGTATCGTTTCGTACACTAATTTACCAAATAAATTTAATTTAGCTTCTCTGGACATCAGACGCGTTCAAAATTTCTCATAACTGTTCTGTGCTACGTAAGAAATATGTTTGTGGTCTACACATTATAGCTCAAGAGTTCATTTTATATCATCTATTCTCAAAGCTAGAACCACAAAGTGTGATAAGCAGAGATACAAATTGCAATTGGTATCGCTTATTTTCACTACATGATCATTGTAAATTATTTAAAACTAAATTTTTCAAACTTGCACATTGGAAATTTTTATTAAACTAAAGTAATTACTAAGAGCAGATGATAAGGATGAAAAAATGCTTCTCCCTGATGCGGTGGTAAAAAGATAAACTACCTTGTATAGAAATGAAATGAAAAGTGAGATGTCCCAATTGTCTATAGTCATCCTAATAGTGATTGCAATTAAATTCCTTTGGATACTTGCGTGCGTTATTAAAACGGAAAATCGTCCTTTAGCGAAATAAAGAAAATAAAGGCATGTACTACCACTTCACCACAAGGTGATTACAGGAAAAAGTTATAAAACACGCAGTTAATTAGCATCCCACGTATAAGATCAAAAGTTCCCGAAGTTTTATTGAAATTCATATTCACTGAATAAAGACTGGCTGATTAAAGCTATCAAAAGCAAAAAAAAGAGAATTGCAATTTTAAGGAACAGTTATAAAAAAATGTGTGGATGGCCTCAGTATTGCATTATAAGAGACTTTCGTGACAGTAAGGAAAAACTTTCTCTGTACCACAGTTTCCACTCCTGACTTCCATTTAATCAGAAACTTGAAAAATAGGTAGTGGAAAGGTTAATGGAACTGACAAGTTAGAAAGAGAGGTATAAAGTAACAACTAATTGTAAGGACTTGCCTAACATGGTGCTAAAAAAATTTCCGATCACAGAAGCAATTGAAACTGGTTTAAAGCAAAAATGAAATGAGAAAGGGAAAAAATGGAAGGCCCCAAACCAAACATTTATTGACTGTTTTAGTTTAAAAGATCATGTCTGTGATTTGACAGATAGGATAGGACTGTAACTTCCACAGTGTAGTTAACTTCAGAGTTTGAGGCTAATCCAGCTTAATATTCCGAGTTACTTTCAATGCCCTCTATATCTAAAAGTCTGTTTTTTTCATTTTACATCAAGTTGAAGCATGTTGTTACTATTTTCCAGGATAGGCTCTATTTTGCACTAGCTAAAATTTCCCCGATAGTTGACTTACAATCTGCGAGGCTACTTCGCTCTGAGGCTATCTTTTCCCAGCATCCAGAAACGAGGCCAGTCCACATAACTGATGTCTGAGTTGTGATACCTGTTAGATCGGGACGATGGCCTCCTTCTACGCTTGATAAAAAAACTTCCATCTTCTGACCTTTTAGATCGTGAAAGGCTTCTTCGCCGTACCACATTTCCCAGAACAAGATCCCGAGGGAGTAAATCTCTGAAGAGGCATTGTAGTTTCTATTTCGCACAGCTTCTGGCGGAAGATGAAGAAATGCATCACAGTTTGATCCATGCTCAATGGTCAGCTGCCTCCTGAGGGAGATGTTGCTCAGCTTAATATCACGGAGATTGGAACCGTCAAGCTATGTAAATTAAAAAAATTTAAAAAAAAACTTCAATTGATTATTAAAAGAAACTTGATAAACACTGGTTTTGTCTTGGTTGACTAGCATTTTGAAAGAATACACTGGATCTCGCCAAAAGAAATAGAATAGAACTGAGCATGATTCCACTTTCTGAAGAGGCAAGGGTCACTGCTTTGGTTGAAACACACTTGTTTATGAACAAAGCAGTCATATCTTCATCTGCTTTTCGATGTTATGAGATGGATTTTATATCCTGCTTCATAACTATAATATAACTGAATAAAAGGGGTAAGTTTCTACAGAATTGTGGCGCTGCATCGGTGGAAGAGTATAACAGGGTAGTTTGGCTGAGTCGATCACGTAAATTGGCCACTGTATGGAGTTCAAAAGCTGACTTCATTAGTTGAATGAAAAGTGCTCGTTGATACCGTGGGGATTAAGGATGCCGGTTTGAGAGATAAACTTTTGTTCTAGAGTTTTCCGGCTTTCTGAACTATTTAGATGTAGGGAAAAGCCGCAAACTGCCATATGCTGCTTAAAATGATTAGGGAGATCAATTATCTAGCAACTGGTTTGGATTTGTCCTTGTCATTTCCTTCTACGTTGCGAAGGTGTTCTCGGAATCGGTCACTCAGTCGTCTTCTTGTTTCACCGATGTATGACTTTTTGCAATAAGTGCAAACTATGCAATAGTTGATAGGGGCGATCACTTCGCAGTTATAGTTGATTTAGTTTTTCAAAAGTGTAAGGGTCTAATTGCAAGCTATTTGGCCTGGCTTAGTCCAGATCAAAAAATGTACTTAAAGACAGCCTTTAAGACTAAGTTTGAAAACAGTGACGCTGAAGTCCTTGAACGAGAAAAGCTCCGTGCACACGGGAGAGAGAAATAATCTAACCCTTTACTTTACTGCGAGTTATAGACCTTGGAAATCTTATTAGAGCTATATTTGTGTCCGCGCTCTGATAGTTTCTAAATTTATTATTTTTTCCTTGAGTGTTAAACCAATTAAAACAAATCGTTTTATTACAAATAAAATATTTCCCTACCAAAACGTTCTTTAACCGAAGGTCACCGTGAACACATCCGTCAAATATGCTGTAAATCGACATCAGTGCTTCGACGACTTGGTCTGCCCAGCGAATCGCATTCTCTGTAGATGTGGGATTCCTTGCAGGACAATTTCCGGGCTGATCGATCAGATAGTACTTTAAATCAACTCCTGGACACTCAGATACAAAGGCTGCTTCTAATCCTCTTGGAACCTTTCTGAAAACAGCACCGTAAAACGTGACAATGTGAGGATGGCAAAGCCTCCTGTGGAGTAAACAACAAAAACAAGAAAGATGTGGACAACTTTCAACTTTGGACCTGGTAGGAGTAACAACAAAATGACTAAAGAAAGTGGGAAAACATTTTCAAAAACATTGTAAACATATGAAAATTATATATATATGAAAATCATATATTCGCATAGTGTGTGTATTTAGGTTTAGGAAATGAATATGAAAGCGATCCTCACAGTAATAAAAAATACTTAAGCAGTAGTGAAAATAAGGCTTGGAAAAATTTAGGCCTGTATGGGATTTGAACCCATGACCTATGCAGTGGCAGTTTATTACGAATCAACACGATTACCAGCTTTCAGTTGGCTTGTAAGCTCGGTTGGTAGAGCACTGAACCGGTGAAAATTAATTCCAGAACGAATCGAACAGAACTTTACGTTAAACGAGGAATGCCAATACGAGTGTCATGTTTCAGGAAAAATAGCTCAACACACCTACTGAAGTGACTTGGGTATTTTGGAAGAATACCAAAGTGTTACTAGCATAACGCGTGTTCTAAATCCTAAATCCTTGTTGGTTAAGTGTTTGATAAGAAATTGTTTGTTTATTAGTTAAGTTGTACCTCAAGATTGCTTCGTCTGCCAAGCAATCAATAATATTGCTCCTGGTCAGCAGTTCTCTGTACACTTTAAAAGTTACTTGACCTCTTGATGAGTACCTTCCCTTGGAAATGTGTCCTTGGTAGAGCCCAGGTTCCATTGTTTGCTTCAAGTAAACATCCTCGCTGACATCCCAAGAAAGGTCATCCCAGGAGAGCCGCATGCACCGGATTTCCGTAGAACCAAACAAGGCGAGCTCACCGCGCAAACGCTTGCATTTGTCTCTACAGGGCTTGTAGCGAGCTTCAGAATCCTTCTTGCTTTGCGCCTCCTCTATAAGTTGCTGACAAAGTTTTACATCGGCTTCAACAAGCATAGGGATTCTCGCTTGCAGGTCAGTGCAAGATAAAAGATAAAGATGACCAGATAAAAGTATGGTTTGAAGCATAATCGTCGGAGTCTCTAACCTGTAATAATCGGTGAGGCCAAAACAGTTCCACCTTTTTGTAGCTCGATGCCTTTTCTCTTAAACTTGCAGACTTGACGTGAACAAATTCTGATATTTGATCTATGTAAGGCGAGGATTCTGTAAGATTCTTTATCTCCGGAGCCATTCCTTCTTTTTTATAGTGTATCGTTATCCTTTTCTTTCTATCATATTTCAATTCACAAATTGTAGATGTTGTACTTAGAACTGAAAATGGCAAAAGCTCTTCACCAAGAATTAGGTTCAACATGCTGCTTTTGCCTGCACTGGTCTCCCCTAAGCGTAAGTAAAATACAAAATTATCATTAAATCTTAAATCTCAAGTTCTTCCTTAAACAATCGATATAAGTTTGAAGTTTTATCATCAGTAAAATACAACTGCAATAAAGTCTCCCGCCCGTCAAGGTCAAAGCCTCACAAGTCGCTACATAAAGTAAACTCTCCGGCTTAAGAATTCGATAGACCCTAGTTGACAGTTTTTTTAAAATAAAGTAAAATTAATTGGGAAACATCCTAGCCAAGTAGATTTTTGATACTCCTCTCTGTCGCTGTTACACCCGCTCTCTTTGTGCTCAGCATGATCATGTTCAAAGCACCTCAGTGGTTTGGTCAGGGTATTATATTCAAGATATTCACCTGCTACAAGAACAACATAATGTCTTTCTTCCATTCTTCTCATTTTTGCCTTGATTTTAGAAAGAACGTCGCCCTCGCTTGTTTTCAGCAAATCGAGGAAGGTAGCGTCAAGACCCTGAATTTCCCTCTCCACCTCAGTGTAATAATTAAGAAGGATTAATGACTTGTTCTTGTCCATTGTTTGTGCCTCTGAAATTACCTTAAAGGCCTGAAACATGTGCAAATATTGAATGGGTTAAAGAGGCAAATGACTACGTCTCGTATTTCTCCCTACACTTCTTTCGTCCTCCAACCGCTTCCAGCGTGCTTTACAACAGAACAGAGCACGGGCTTCTCTATTGAAAGATCGAGAGCTGAGATGCATGAATAACTATTCCCTTGCGAACTGAATTCCCAGTTTTCTGGGAATTCCTAGGAATTCTCAAAAATTCCCAATTATGCAAATGACCCTTGCAAACTGAATTCCCAGTTTTCTGGGAATTTCTGGAAATTCCTAGGAATTCTCAAAAATTCCCAACTATGCAAATTAACTCTGATTTAAAAAGCTTGGAATTACTGGGAATTTCTGGGAAAGGAAGACTCCAGTTTTGTGAGGACTTGGAATCCCTAGGAACTCCTAGGAATTCTCAGCTTTACAAACTACCTATAATTTAAGAAGTGTAGCACTCTTGGGAATTTCTGGGAATTGAATTTGAGGCAATTTTAATACCCTGAGGTCCACATAAATTCTAAGAAATTCTCAATACCTTGAAGGTGAAGGTTTTAAGAAAAAGAGTAATTTCAGAGGCTTAAAACTTTGGCTCAATAAAAGGTATGCTATACAAAACTTACCAAGAGATATACATACATGTACATGTTTATAACTTAAAGATCATGAAATTTATTACTCAAACTAAGTTTTAGTAAATCTTTACATTAATATGGATTTTCTCATGAACCAGCTGTCAGTTATGTTAAATGGAAATTGCCAACTTCCACAATAATTAACAATAATTACATTGTTATCTTCCCTAACCTACATTACTGGTTGCCTTTGTTAGAAAACCTTGGAACAGTCAAGCTCAGTTGCCTCAAACGCTGTCAGAGACTTTTTGTTGACAATACTTTTAGTAGAAATTTCATGCCTTAGACAAACAAATTCAACACTTAATTAATCTTTCTTTTTTCATGATTGTTGTTGCTGCTTTTTTTCAGTTTTTTGCTCTATTTTCATGACTAATTGCTGTAATTTGTTTTGCTGTTTTTATTCTTACAAAACATTTTTGTAAGAGTTCCAATACTTGTGGATCATCCACACACTTTGCAAACATTTGGCATGCAGACAAGACAGAGGTAGTCAATGTACCCTTTGAGGAAAAACACCTTTTATATGACGTCTTCAATTTACTTTATTTGAAACTCTGATCTGAAAATATTTGTCAACAAGACTTGTTAGTAGTGAGAAGTACCAACCAAGTTTCCTTTCATAACTTAATTTCTTAAATGTCCCAATCACTGGATCTCCCAAAAAAATATTACATCTTTTTATTTTTGGTGCAAATTACAAGTCCCTCTTTATATAAAAATGAAAAGTGCTAGTCATACTTCAATAATAACAGCTCTTAAGTTTACTTGTTGTTCTTCTCTGTCTGTCAGCTATCAACAAAATTGTTTTATACTTCGGGCAGTGCATAACTATTTGTGGACCAGAGTTCCAACGCACCTCTGTAATCGCATATAGCTACTCCTGTCTCTTGTACAAATGTTTCTCCTTTGTAAGACGCACTCTACTCTGTTGTCAATACTGCTTTAAGTTCAGTGGAAACGACTGACTGAGGAATCGAGATGGCGGTGTTGGAACGTGTTGCTGAACGCTTGCTACGGTCAAGCTTTGTAGATTTAGGTACTGGTACACTGGGATCATCTATGTATCTCTTATACCTCCGAATGTGGTATCCTTCTTTTATAAATATGAGGGTAAAAGACGATTTGTAGTCGCATTCAAAACTGTGATTGGCTTGTGTTATTTCTTACCTTTGCCATTAGCACAACTCAAGTGAGTTTCGAGTCTTTGTTTCCTCGACAACTTTCGGCCACAAATCGTGCATTTGTAATACGATCGATTCTTGTCGATTATTTCTACATAGAGTGAGCTCACATCTTTATTTATATCACCAATCTATCCATCTTCTAGAAGCAGAAAACCGGTCGGAGAAGTCAGAATAAAGTTGGGCGCTTCTCTTAACACTGCAATCGGCAAGCCAGCGGATTCACTTTGCTAGCCAATGACAAGTCGTAAAAGATCCACGTGATCATACCCGTGATCGGAAACAAAGAAGACTCCATTTGGCGCTCATCTTTGAATGTACTATTCATCGGTTGATCGCTTTTCTCAACTGTTTTGCTTAATATAACATTTCTAAAGATAGCTTTTATTGTGGTTCAATGGGAAAACGAGAATAGCGTGAGTGTTGTAAAAGAGAAGAAAGTCGTTGGCGCCGTGGAGTTAAAAGAAGGGACAACAGTTGACATATGGACCGGTACAAACAAGGGTCGAGTGGCCATCTGTAAAGCTACGATTTTGAAAGTTTGTGGTGAGTAAAAATTGCGATATTCGTTGTGATCAAAATCTTATAGAAGAATAGATGTAGCGGGTTGAATTAAGCTTACATAACGCTCGGCGCAACTGAAACTAGAATAATTCTGAGAATCGAATCGGTCACTTGCATGCCACAGTTTCTTAAGCTTATGCTTTACAATGAAATAAACCTATCACTAAGGTTTCAAGATTCCTCTAGTCACGTTTGGGAACATTCAAGATTCATAACAAACCTCAGTACATAAAGAAGCCCTCCTTGGTAAAAACAAAATAATGTATTCAGCCCTTTTTTAGTAAAATCCATGAGAGAGATGTACTAACTCCATAACAGAGATTTCTCAATTTGAGAATCCAATTAATGCCCTTTTCCTCATAGCCATCTTAAAAGCCTGGTCTGAGCTTTAAACATACATATTTTAATATATTATTTTTTTTCAAATTCAGATGTCAAGGAATCCAGATACAAAATGGTCAAGGTTCTTGTTGACAACCTCATTCCAGGCCAACTCATTGTGAGCCCAGGAAAAAAAATACAAACAGTACAAACAGCAGCTAAGTTTGCAGTTTAGGATAACTTCATTCTAATTTATTGTTACAGTTACAACAAGATTTTAATCAAAAAATCAATTTTATTTGTCTGTAATTAGCCCCTTCACTCCCAAGAATATAACTATATAAATATAACTTAAGATATTGTATTTTATGGAAAAGAATCAACAGATTTTATTGACAATTTGTGTCCAACCAAATTTAATGATTGATTAGAACTATTTTATATGAATAGCTGTAATTGAGGATTAATCCGTATGAAGTTTTCAAGAAAAGAAAAATAAATCAAATTCCATCCTAATATTACCACACATTCATGTTAATAATTAATCAAAAATATTTTACATGTAAGCCTTAATTAAGCTTCTAAATAAATTTCATTGAATACTTGAATTTTAGCTGGGTTTTTTTAATTTTAAGTATTTATTTTATATCATTAGCCTCAAATTTTTGCTTAAAATTCCCAGTAATTCTTAAACATTCCTAAAAATTCCCAAAAATTCCCAGAAATTCCCAGAAATTCCTAGTATTTTTTTAGATTTACAGCTTTTCAGGGAAAGTCATTGGTTCTCTGAGTTGGAATTCCTAGGAATTCCAAGTCCTGTTGGCTATAAACTTGGAATTTCTGGGAATTTCTGGGAATTTCTGGGAATTTCTGGGAATTTCTGGGAATTTCTAGGAATTTCTAGGTTTTTAGAACCAGAGTTGTTATGGTTGGGAATTCCCAGTCCGAATTTACCGTGAAAATTCACACCTTTATTCCTAGGAATTCCTAGGAATTCCTAGGAATTCCAAAAGCCATTTCGCAAGGGAATGCTCATACCCAAACTAAACCTTGATATAAGGAATTGGTCACAAGATATGTGAGTTTAAGGGTTGGGAATCTGGAGAGGCAATGATACTCCTTTAATTTGGCCTGAAATTAATGGGGGCCCTCCTGTTTCAATTCATGTTTTTACTCTGACCTACCTCCTCCCCTGTAATGTTTAGGGCACATAGATGAAGAGAACATTGTTTGTATTTTGACACATGAAAGTTAAATTAATCACTGTCCACATTATGCACAAAGCAAGAATATAAAGGCCTTAGCCTTAAAGGTTAAAAAATCAAAATAAGAGAGTTGTGCAGACCATATCTTACTTTTTGTCCTCCTTTGGATGATTATCAAAATAACATCAGTCTCATTCACTCTCACTTTCCACTGAGCTTGTGGAAAGACCATAACTTTGGTATATATCTTTAAATGCAAAAAAAAAGCCGGCCCTCTCCTCGCATCATCAGTACAAACCTAGTCTAATTATTTCATGAAGGTGATTGTTCCAGGTAGGTTAACCTTAAAAATTAGTTCTAAAAATTTCTTGAACCTATCATTGTATACAATGTAAGTGTCTGACTCAATTTTATCTCACTAACCAACATGTAAACTGAATAAATAGAAACTTGAAATTTATTTGTTCTCCTTTAGAGGTATGTGTCAAAATTTTGAAGTCATCACAGGCTTGAGCTACAAGTTTAACCGAAATCTGCCTGTACATGTGTTTTCAACATATAAAACCTGGACTATGACTACTTCGAATGACTTCATTAGGTGCCATACGGGTACAATCAGGTGTTGTAAAAAAGTTTGCTAAGCTTTTTCATTAATAAACATTTTTTCTTCTAAAAACCTTGTTTATCCGTTCTATGGTGAATTCTTATTTTTTCTTTATTTTTGAATATTCTTAGATCTCCTCGTATCAGTTAAGTTTCATGTAATTAAAATAATTACATGAAATCTTCCAGATGTATGGCACATTTTTTCCTCTGATCCTTCTAACATTTTTTTTTATGTGTAGGGATTGGTATTCTCTATAACATCAAAGTCAAATTAAAGTTTTGTGCACAGCCTGTATGCATCAAATTTATGTGATAAAATATTGTATCCTTCTTAAAAATAGTTCATCAGAATAAGAATGAATTACTAGGCACAAATATGGCTTTCAAGATGACAGTTTCCAGGTTTGAAAAAAGTCACTGCTTACTAAAATCTTCAGTTACTTTTCCCTAACAGC